GGGTGGAAAGCCAGGAGGGGAACCGGAGCCGTCACACCCGGGGGCGACCCCGGGCAGAGCTGGGGTGGCACACAGCAAGTGGCCAAGCTGGGATTAGTGTCCTCATCCCAGCATGAACCGGTTAGACTGTCCTGTCCTAGAGGATGTGTCGCCTGCATCTGCTCTGCTTGGGGACACGGCAGCGAACCCCCAGCTTTAGCTGTGGGCGCCTGCCCGGCCGCTCCCGGCTCTGCTCGCCGGCTCGGCCCGTTGCAGCGCGGCTGCCTGCTGCGACCGGCTCGCTCTCCCCGCCCGCTCCCGGCTCTGCTCGCCGCCTCGGCCCGTTGCAGCGCGGCTGCCTGCTGCGACCGGCTCGCTCTCCTCGTTCCCTGCGCCGCGAGAAGCCACGTCCCTCCGCCCGGTCCTCTTGCCCTTGTAGTGCTGTGAGCCCACAGCGATCACTCCGTGGGCCTGGGTTTAAATAGGGTTATTATTCCCTTAAATAAAATCCAATCCAAGTCGTTTTTCCTCCCTAAGCGCCCGGCGGGATGAGGCCTGCCAGCCCCGCAGCGCAAGCCCCTGCCCCGCTCGGTCCATCGTCCGCAGAGGGGACTGAGTCAAGCTGGGTTTGGGAGTCCGTGGTTGCGGCAGGAGGGCATCAGTCCTCTGGGTCTTTGCCCCCTTCCACACGCCCTGTCGCAGCTTCATTTCTCCTCCCGCTCACCGGCCGCGCAGAGGTTGGGGTTCTCGGCCAGCGTGGCCCGCACTTTCTTCTTCTCCTTGAAGCGGCCCGAGTTGGAGACCTTTACGTGTTTGCCCTTGGTGTTCTTATCCACGATCTTCTCCAGGCGGGTAGTGAAGTCGGGCGGCCCTTCACCGCCTGAGTCCTCCTGGGTCTCGCTGGCGTAGATGTCCGGGCTCTCGTACAGCACCTTGGGCATGGATTTGTGCTTCCTCAGGAAGGTCAGCTTCCACCAGCTGTGGTTCTCTGCCATCTCCGCCGCTCCACGGCCACCGGCAGAACCAGCTCGTGTCTAAAAGGGAAATGGAGGTGTTACTTGAGCCTTTCTCGGGTTTGCTCTCCCCCCTACTCACGTTCCCTGGGTGATTGCTCTCCGACACGTCCCCGTGGCCCCAGGCCTCCTGTGGGAGCTTATGGGGACGTGCTCCACAGCAGGGACAAGTGACGAGCTCCCTGTCCACTTTGGCAGCGCGCAGTCTTTCGTTTACAGTGCCCGCGCGCACAAAGAGCCCTGCAGCGTTTCCCTAGCCAGGTTTCTGAGCTGTTTCCTTCCCATCGCTTGGGGATTCCCGTTGGCCGGGAGCAAAACCGGCTCAGATCTGCCCCGATGTCCTCGGACCCGCGGCTCCCCTCCGCCCCTGTGTGAGTTTGCTGCAAGCGGCACCGGCCAGTGCCACCGCCGGGGCCCCGCTTTCTGCTGCCAAGCCCTCGGGCTTCGCTGCACCCTGCCCCACGGCACGCGTTCGTGCCGCTCATCTTGAGCGAGGTAGCTCTAACCTCTGCCTTCCCTGGGTACCTGGTGCAGGAACGGTCCCGCCTGGGCTCCTGGGCCCCATTCTGTCTGCGCTCAGGCCTGGTTCTCCCCCTCCCCGTTTACCACAGGGGAAACTGAGGCAGGGCAGGATGCCCTTTGC